GCCTTAATGACTTCCTGCTTGATAAAGTGCATTACACTCGGACTTTGATGCCAAAAGACGAAAGGATCAGATTAATTCATTACCTGATTCCAACAGCACACAAGATGAATATTATATCCCTCCAATAAAACTTAGGGATGTGACAGAGTTCTTTGTGCTGGCATTGGCTCGTGTCCAACAGCCCAGTCCAGCCTCTGCACTCACAGGGTTGTGTGAGAGTACTCGCTGTGCTCTCCCCCTCTCCATCCTCTCTTTGGTACACAGTCAGATGCACGTCGGAGAACCGCAAGGCGCCGTTACCTCTCCTGGATCCATGCGGGTGGAAGAAGGAGGAAAAAAAAATGGACAAACACAAAGGCAATCAACAAATCCCCTTTGCTTGAGCCCTGAGAAACATAATAGGGCCAAATCATCATCTATTTAGCTTCGTCAAATCACTGACAGCAGGCCTTGATAAAAGAGAGTGGAAAATATGTAGGGTACAAGACGCTGCCAAGACCCTCACCGACTAGAACCCCCTATTGAAGCCAGATGTTGACTCAACTGGCCAATTTTGATAAATGGCATGATGATTACCATTATAGATCGGGTAATTTTATATCAGCGTGCCACATTGTTGGTCCTCTTTAATGATAGCCAAATGAACTCTGGTTTATGCCCGAGGCCAGGTGGGCTTTTCTGTGATCGGTGTGCTGCATGCAGTGCCGCAACCAGCCATTAGGTGGGCAGGCCCCGCTGCGGACAGGGCGCCCCGGTCTCGTGGGCACCGCTATGGGTGCCCGTTGTTTGTCATCAAGTGTCCAGCTGAGGCCTGAGCCCATCACACAGACCTGTAATGAGACTTAATTGGTGCTTTAGCCTGACTTTTGCCTCCTTCAATGTCCTCAATCCCATTAGAAAGGCTTACTAGATCAGAGCTTCATGTACTTGACACAGTGACCCAGATGGATGTTACCTTGCATGACCCTCCGAGGTCCCAGCAGACTCTGATTCAGAGTCTGCTGTGGTCCAAACACTCGGGTCTGTCTCCCATTCCTCAGGGATTGGGGTATTACAGTAGATTAGCTGGAGTAATACCACGATGGAACACGGGTATGTGGGGTCATGGGATCGCTCCAGGACATGAAAACTAGTGTTTGCTTTCAGGGGAAACTGTCACAGACACACTTCTGAGAATCAACAAAATCCAATTAGTTTAATACTTCACGTCAGATAGCCGTCTTTTCTCTGATTTGGCACTGTCCTTATTCCACCCTTGCAGCAGCTAACCTCGTTTTGCTCCTTTAGCCTAGTTTTAGAGACTTTCCTGGGTGAGGTGATCCTTAATGTTATTTTGCACTGTAATACAGATTCCCTTAAGGCACTGTACAAAAATTATGGGGTTGAATCTTCCCCAAGCATTATTAATATTTTCTTCAAACCCTAGTCTTGGCTTACAAAACAACATCTCAGAATAATAAATTACTGGCAAACATAACAACGTGGTGAATATTCATAGCCAGACTCTACTTTTGAAAAAAGAGCTGCTCAGTAAACCATCATTCCAGCCACAGAATGAGTTAAATGATCACATGTGACAACACTGTGGCTTCTGATGAGCCACAATATTTTCACCCACTCATGTATTCCACTTGATAAATATATAAATTAGATCAGATGATGCCTGATATAGTCAAATCAATTACATGATAACGGAGTTGCATGGCCATTTGTGTTGGAATAGTTTCTTTCAGTGAATTTCCCCAGTGTGGGATCAATAAAGTCTTTCTTATCTTATCTTTCTGGCAGGTTCCAACAAGGGCAGTGTTAAATAGGCTGTGTATTTTATTTAATATGTGAAGCAATTCGTAATTGTATGTTTTAAAAAGTGCTATATAAATTATGACTTATTATTGGTTGATTTATTTAACGATAAAGTGAATTAATCTGGTATGTATCTGACTCCCCTCTCCACACTAATAATTTTCACGTAGTCCCAAAATTACACAGAATAGTTCACTGCTTTTTGTATTTCCTCGTAATTTCCAGCCAACTGGCTTGAATACAGAAATGTGGCAGTTCACATATTCATCACATTGACTGAATCTGATGTCAGACCTTTAAACAGGAACTTTTATATTTAGGTCTCCAATTGCAATCATTCAAATTCAAACATAAAAAGAAATAAACACAAGAAAGACCAATAACATAAAAGTCATTTTTGTAGCATAGCTCATTTTATTGTTTAAACAGTTTTGCATAGGAAATATATCCACTTCCAGTAATTGACTGCAGTAAAAACAGCTGCTAGCAGTATAGGCTGGATATAACAGTAACAATCACAAAAAGTTGAGCCTTTATTTACACTGATTTTAATCTTGTGGCAATTTTAGCCCCTGCACCAAATGTAACCAGCATGAAGGCATCGCCTAATGCTCGGCGTTTCTAAAATCAATAAAAGAAGGGATATCAAGGCCTTCGCTATACAGTTCACAATGGACACCTGTGGCTCCTAAACTGTCAATGAAAAGATAAAAAACAAAAAAGGTTTCCAAAAAGTCCTCTAAAACGTACATTCAGATACATACATAGACCTTTGCACACACTTGCAGTGTAACTACGATCACTACTGGAGACTGTTACATATTGTTTTGTTGGTGTTGTTGTTGTTGTTCATTATATATAATTCCACCATGATTCATCAAGTAGAAATGTGTGCGCAGAGGGAAGTAAAAGTGCCACAAGACCCAAAAATAAATCAGCCCTGCAGAGAAAAATGACTAATCTTAAGAAAAGACATTATTTCATCCTTTCACTGCGCATAATGTAGCACTGACCCCCCCGCCGCCCCGCTCCCCATCCCCGAAAAACAAAAAAACAACAAAAAAAAAAAGTAAAAGTAAAAAGAAGAGTGAACATTTCCTCTCAAATTTTGAACAAGCTTGATGTGGGCATTGTGTGCTGACATAATTTGAAAATTAATAGATCACCAAAAAAAAAAAAAAAAAAAAAAAAAAAAAAGCTCCAAAAACATTAAAGAAGCATATTTCCAGATGAGTTAGCCACATTCTGTTCGGTGTGATGGTGTTTTTCTTGTCACATATGAAAGTAAGTCTATCACATTTTACAATTATATACAACAGACACTTGGACAGCTTGAACAGGCACTGCATTGCTATCTTTTTGTCTTCTTTTGGTGAATGTTACATCCTGTAAAAATGCTGGTTTTCATGTTTCATAACAACCTGATGCCAAGTGACTAGCAGCTAGCCAACATATGGAAGGTGTCTATTGCTCATGTAGGATGAAAATGAAGTTTTAATGTTTCCTCTAAGTCTGCATGTATACTCCCTCTCAGTCCCTACAGAATGCGTGACATTCAGTTAAAAGGGAAATCACACATATTGCATGAGTGCCACAGGTCCTCCTTGCATAAAGTTGTCCTGTTTCTTGATGATGATCAGTGACATAATACTTTCTAAATAAGGTAAATAAGGTTGTTGTGAATGTCAAAATCTGCCTTGAATACGGCTCTTGAAGCTGCTGATGGGTGGAACACTGATTAAAATTTCATAAAGTTTCAAGAGCTTTTTGACAGGCTACGTTCACACCCAGCGTAGCAACAGAAATACGTAACAATGCCCGAATACACTACCTATTATCAGCTGGAAGGTACAGTACCCTATTCTGAAGCACCTGCGATTCATTAATTTGTTTGTAGTGTAAATGAAGGGTTAACTACATCACATCAGGCATAGACAGCATGTGGAATGTGCAAAATGAGTGATGCCTAGATGCTGTTACTGATATTTAAAGAGATTTTTTAGAGTGTCGTCTGCATAGGCGGCTCAACATTGGCCAACCGATTCTGAACTACGTCGAAATGTAGCACCAATTGCCTTGCAACATTTCCTTTAAAAAGAAATTTAAAAAAAGAAACTATCTGATCAATGAGGACGTTTCACTGCAGATTCTACCCTGCTTCTCGCTTAAGGTCAGGTGCAATCTGGGGCCTTTTCTACTGGTTAAGTGACATCACCTCCCAGCTGCTACAAGGAACACACTCACACCACAATCTTGTTGGACAAGAATTCACACCCATTTCCAGAAAAAAAAGAGAGATAAATCACATCACACTCACTATGGCCACACTAATCAAAGAACAACAATTCAAATATTCATGAAGTGTTTCCCAAATGCAAATATCTAAGCACTAACCAAGAACAGAAATAATAATATTAATAATAAAAAAAGCCTTCATTGTTGTTGTTTTTTATATTTATGGATCTGTATAGAATATTTCCCCCCATTTTTTTGACTTTACATACAGGAATACAACAACTGATGAAAACACTTTAGATTCTACTAATCGGGGGAACCTGGAGAGTTCTAACTCAAATCCAGCCTCCGAAACAAATAAACAAAAACCCAAATTGAATTAGCTTTTTTTTTTCCCTAAAATGGAATTGACTTATTTTTCCCCAGAATTGAAGATTTACAAATAAGGGCTTAAGAGAAGAACTCTTGAGAAAGTTTACAGTGTACAAACTCCTGTCCTACGGCAGGCTTTTTTCAATAGAAAGACCCTCATCTTCTCTCACTGTGTAGTGTCAGAGGCACTCGATCACACGTCCAGCTCACAAAGTCACACACGCGCGCATGCACACGAACAACCAAGCTGCCAAAGCAGAGTTCAACCCCACAGACTACTGCTATCGACGCAATCAGGATATTTACCTTTATGTACACTCTCCTATTCAAATAAACACCCACAGCACAGTGACCCTGACACATTTTTATCACACACACACACACCACACACACACACACCACACACACACTCCAGCAAAACACAGCTTGGGGACAATGGCACTTCAGTGGGGTCCTCCCATTGGAGCAAAGGCTGCAAAGCAACTTATAGTGTTTTCTTTTAAAAGAAGAAAAAAAAAGATAAAACAACAAAAAAAGACAGAACAGTGCAACAATAGACGGGGTGACTTTTTCATTTTTTTATGGCATAAGAAAAATCTGGGTGAAGAACGGAGAGATTGAGCTTGACTTGAGGATTGATTTTTCCCTAAAAAAAACCAAAACAAAACAAAAAAAAAACATTTTCTGCTTCTTAAGCCCTCTTAACGCCGGAGAGCTCCCGCTAGTACCGTCTCTCTGAGGGAAACATTTCTTTCACGATTGTAGGGAAAGAGTGCAAAAGGTGTCATAGCAGCAATGGAGGCGCTGCTCTCTCTGTGAGAAAAGTTATTTATTTATTTTTTTTATGTTAAAAATGGTAAGAGAGTGATTGATATAAATAATGCCCTGTAATACGCCTGAGAGATTTAGTTTAAGACTAGGTTCAAAACACTGTATGGGGGAGAAGACGATTGCCTATGTGCTATTTAAGTGCTATATTTTTCTTCTAATGGATTCTATTTAAGCTTCTACTGGGCCACTGGACAGGAGAACACCATGCTTCTGCGGTCCAGTATTTATTTCAACATTCTCTACGGGGCTCTGCTGGGGAAGTGTCTCAGGAATTGACATATGTGCATATCGTATATACATTTATACAAATCTACTACTTATAAAATACTTTCTAAAGGCTTGCTTGAGCCTGTCTGCAACTGATTTGGACAGGTCTCACTAGCATTAGTCGGTGTGTGATTGTTGCGCAGGTCACAGGCCACTTCACTGATGTGTTTAAGGCATCTACTTGGGAATTGCATTCGGTGACGTCTAAAATAGTACGGCGTAGTATTCAACAAAAGCCTGCAACGCTATCCATCTTCAGTTGCAGCTTTAAGGGATCTACGACAGAATGGGATTCTACGCAAAATGATTTCTTAAAATGATTGTCATACTCAAGTCAAGCCGTCTCTCCTGTGAAAAATGAGCTCCTTCAAGGTCACATGCTAGCACCCCAGGTGGAAAGTTGAAAGTAAGAGTCACAGTAGACCAATCAGTGACTTTGCAGCCGTAGTAAGACCAAGGGTGCATTTTTTTATAAGTACTTCTAGAAAAATACCGCCCCTCCCCCTAAAACTCCCGAATTCAAAATACACTGGAACACGTCTCACCGTAATTCGGTAGGCCTATATGCTAAAGAAAGAAAAAAAAAGACCTTGTCATACACTGCATAGAAAGCAGTCCCCACTTTGGTCAATAAAAAAGGAAAACACCCACAACAACAACAACATCATCAACAACAACAACGACAAACAACGATATCAACAAAATAAATGCATTACAATATTGTCTATCTCCAAACTAGCCTCTAATATTTGACGCATCTATAAGCACTACCTACATAGGCAAAACTTGGTATTGCATAATTTTCATAATTCTGAATTCCACCCTCCACAGTAGTAACTGGAAGATGAAGAAAATGAGCATTGAAAAATAAGGAAAACAAAAGATGACAGGTTATTAGAAAAACCACCAAAATACTGGGAAAAAAAAAGAAAAGAAAAATGCTGGTTGATTACAAACTTTAAAACGGCAACTATACACAGCCTTGATATGCAATGTAACTGTGAGATAGAGTAGTACATGAAGTTAAAAATCAACAATTTCATTCAGAGTACAAAACAATTCTTATCATAAAAATGTTAATTTTTTTCTATAATGATAAATGCAGCAAAAACAAGTGTAGTGATGTCTCTATATTCAAAGGCAAGGCACGTAATGTGGACTATATGTCATCGTGCAAATTAAGAGTATTGGAGAGATTTTCCTTGTATAAATATGTCTGGACTAGAGAGGCAATGGCTGTGAACATGCCGTGCACAATTCTAGATTTCAGGGACTTGCCACCACCTGGATTTATAATTTCAGTTTTCAACCTCTTCCACTGTAGAGTTAACCTTGCACAAACTAGCTTTACACATAAGCCTACTGTACATTTGCATGAATTGTACATTTCCATGAATTAACACTTTGCATTCCATATTTCTTTTTTTTTAAACATAAGCTTTAGAAGCTGATGGCCAAATGCATATGCTCTCGATCTTACAAAATGAAATAAATTCCATTTTTACACACTATGTGCGTTTCATTTCTATGCTTATGTTCGGTTATTTTTCTTTCTCCAAAATAAATAACAAAGAACTCCCCATAATGATGGGAAGGGCTCAAAAGAAGTGCTGGTTTTGCTCAGCGCTGCACAGTTAGCTTAGTGCTTGCCTTCAACTGCCTTTCAAGCTTGATGTTTTTCTTATGTGAGGAGACGGATATGTGACTGAAATCAAATTCAAATGTTTTCTTAAACATTTTACCCATAAAACCATTTAATATTTATCCCCCTTCCTTTAGAGTCTTAGGGCTGACAGACTGATAGCTTCCCTTCAAAAATTCAATTGCACTTGCCTCTATCGAGATTTTCTTATTCTCCGTCTTTTTCTATATCCTTTTGTAAAGGAGTTGCAAATTCTTTAATGAGGGGTCCAATCTCAAGCCTAACATTTAGTGTTTTTTGAAAACCGCATGAAGAGTTCTCAACTCTTACCGTAAGTGTTCACGTTAATTATTGAAGTGAGTAGCAGTAAAGAATAAGCAAAGTCAACACATTTTCTGAACAAAGAGTCGTATCACAGTAAACTGAAATCAAACGGAAGAAGAAACACTCTGAATTCACAATTTTTTTGTTCCTATGGTGTACACAGTGAATCGTTTGACGTGGGAAAGCCTCTTTTAAAGAGGTCTGAGTCGGAGAGCTTCGAGTCTCGGAGCCATCCACCAGGCAGAGGTTGTCGATACGCAGACCTCTTCACTTGTGTGTGTGTGTGTAAATCAAGATTTTACATCTTCCCCCAACATGGAAAAATAGTAGGAATTGCCGCTAAGAGACTAGAGTGTCATGCAATAAAACATTAAGGCATCTATACATCACAGTATTTGAATGGATTGAAAAGTTCTGCAAACACAACAACTGACTGGTGGGTGGTGGATGTGTGGGCGAGGAGACAGCAGACCTGAAGCTTTTTCTCTTTTTTCTTTCCTCTGAACCAACCCTCGTCTTCACTTCACGGCCAGTGTCCTTCATGGGGAGGGATGGGAGTGGGGAGGGACATGGGAGGGGCGTGACTGGGAGAGGTGGGGAGGGGGGGACGATTGTGCAGCTCATGCTGCTTTGCTGGTTTCATCCATGGCTGCGGACACCTGTAGTGCTAGCTCTGCACCACCAGCACCCATCCACCCTGGGGGTCATCCGGCCTCTGTGTGTTCAGTTCCCTGTCTCAGCGGGGACCAGGGGCTCACCAATGATGTTTATGCTGTAGTTCTGGTGGACATTTGTTGGCAGAATCGGAGTCCCGTTCGACACTTGGAATGGAACTAAGCTCGCCCAGGTACCAGGACTGTGGAGAGAAAGAAAAAAAGAGACACACATAGAGACGGAGAGATTAGTCACATGCCATTAACTTGTTTGTGCAGCATGCAGTCAAAATCAGATTCTTTCTTTCAATTATCCTGAACACTGCTTTGCTAATGACCGGCATCACTGCTCTGCTGACAGTCATCAAGGTTCAAGGTCTTATTTTTGTTTTGTTCAGACAGAGAGGGGTAAACAAAAAAAAATAAATGGCATCGCTAGCTCATTAATCTAAGCTGAGGTGAGTCCACTTGATTCCCAGTGAAGGACATCATGTGAGAAAGCTGTGACGCAGGCCCTCTTCTGCATTGATGGCAGTATAGAAAAGCATTAGGGGGAGAGTGTGATTGGTGGTGGAAGTGGAGAGTGGGGGTTGTGGGTAAAAAGTGTGGGGGGGGTCCCTACACAAAGCTGTCCCATCCCTATTCATCTCACGCTAATGGCAAAACAACACAGTGATTGTTCCTGGGGAGCAACGGTGCTAACTGAAAACGCGAGCGGGAACAAACAGCATGTTGTTCCCGTGGGGTGCTGCGCTACGTAGATGTCAGATAATTAGCCCCCCCCGCCCCCTTCTCCCCCACAGGCTCCCCCACAGGCCCCCAGTGTGCACTCATCTAACACCCTCCCACCTCTCACATCACCCCCACTAAGTCTGAGAATACCTGTATCGCACATTTTCAATCCGATTTGCCACGAACAAACTTTTTTTTTTAACAACATAAAGTTCCGGCAGATTCATCACAGATCAAGACAGATGAAGAAGAAGAGCAGGAAAGAAGGATGAATGTGGGACAAAAAAAGTGAGGGGAAACGTGGAAAATGAGGAGAAATGTTTAGGGAGAAGAGAAGAGATGGATGACGAGGAGGAGAGTTGTTTCCAAAAGAAACAACAGACAGCTAAGACCTGAAGATGCTGGTCTGCAGAGGACAGACTCGGTTCTTTGTGAACCTTCACGACTAGACAACATTGTCTGCGCTCATGAAAGCTGCTGATGAACCAGTCTGCATTTTATACAAATCACTAGTCACTACTCTTTTACTTAAAACAATGGAAGTGCAAATTCGATTCGCCTTGTGGCCTGAAAGAGTCAGACTCTTCAATGAAGAGTGACAGAGAGAGAGACGGAGAGGAGAAGATGTATTCAAAATAAAAACAAACTTGCTCAAGTTTTCGAATATGTTTGAGTGTGCAAAGAGTTAAAAACAACCTCAAGGCTAATCCTCTCTAGCAGTTTTTTTCCCCCCTGTCCAACCCGTCCTCATGCTATCCTCTCTCTCCTGCTTTATTCCCTCCCTCCTTCTCTCTTTCACCCTGCCAAAAATCATCGGACAGGAAAGGGGGGATTAAGTTTTTCCTACCTTGCTGAACAAAGAGCGCACAGAGTGGCGGAGGGCTGTAGCTTTCCTTTTTTCCCGTTCTTTCTTTCTTTCTTTCTTTCTTTCTTTCTTTCTTTCCTCCTCCCTCTCTCCTTCCATCACTCTGTGTTTCTCTTTCCTTATGAAACTCCTCTCAGGTAATGGCTTACATTAGGGGGACCACACAGCTACAAAAGCGGACTCGCAGGCCTTTGTGCACACTAAACCGACAGATCGGTTTTAATCTTGTTAAAATCGATGGCTGTCAGTCTGTATCTGCATCCCATAACCTGAAGCCACACTGGGCAGGATTTTTTATGTAAAGAACTCCTCTAGTATCAGGCTGAATCACAAAGTGTGGGGGGGCTAAAATCCTCCTATCATGGCTAACTGAGACATGCCGGTTTGGCCTTATTAGTATGACTGAACTTTGAATACAAACTCTGTCCTAAAAAGCAGCAAGTGAGGTCTCCATCCAAAGAAAGTCATGCTACTAAATCATCTGGTATGATGCAATCACATACAGGCCATATTGGAAATGCAGTTTTTTGATTCCACATATAGATATTCTTAGTATGGTTCCAATTCGTCAAGCAGTTCCCTTTCACTGCAATCTAGTTAAAATGCCTATTTCTTTATTATTTGTCCCTAAACAAGTTGTCGCTTCATGTTTCTGAACTCCAAGCAGCTCTGGATAAAAAACTAAAAAAATCTGACCTCCATTGCCGTTTTTCCTTAGATAACCTTCAAGATGGCCTCCCCTTGCCCTGTCCAAGCTCCCAAACCTCACTAATTCTACTCCCTGCAAGCACAGCCCGGGCATACAGCGTGCTTCGTTTAAGGATTAGCTCCCTAAATTAGATTATCTAATGGCATCTTAATGGATTGCTGACCCATTTCCTGCACAATGGCAACATGCGAGTCTGGCAGCGTTTTAATTTGGGGGCTAGTACTGAAGAGGCATTGCGGAGCGCACTGTTTAAAGGGCAAGCAAGATAAAAGAGGAATCCGACTGATTCCATCTATACGTTGAGCGGTTTTGCGTGAATAATCCATCAAAGAGGAGAAAGTAAAATAGAATTACCATCCCATCTTTGTAACAAAATTAACTAGATCTAGTTGGGATCTATTTTATCTGTGCTCATTACTGTACACTCACATGGAGAGAAAAGGAGGAGTTAGCTGGTGTGTGAGTAAAATAAGAGACCTCTAGCTGCTGCAGGGGACATTTTTCTCTGCTACCTCCACTGGCCTATTAGGAGGCCTATTGAAGGGGCTTCTGCTGTGTGCATGTGCATTTGTAAAAAAAAGTTTGTAACTTCAGCGGGTGCAAAATGAGCCATACACACACACACACTCCGACACACATAGATGCTCTACACTTCCAGGGAAAAGGGGGAAAGGGAGACGTAACAGGAAAGGGCTTAGCTCAGCTTGCTCGCTCTGCCATGGTGAAATGGTTCAGGTTCCCCCCAGAAAGGGAGACATACAGCATGGAGGCAGGGGGAGGGTTAAGGGGGGGGGCAGAGGGAGGACTTTCTGTAACTTTAAGTTAAAGAGAGTAAAGCATGACTTCAGCATAAAGTCAAACAAAGCTAAGCTTGTTAAAATGTGGAAAGCAAAACATCCTCACATGGCTGAAAAGCTGACCTGGAATGACTTCTTTTATTCTCTGTGGTTTGCTCTAATTAGCTTCATCAAGGTTTGTGTTATGAAATGAGAATATTTTGTTTTTGTTGGGTGTGAATCCAAGAGGAAAGCAATGTTTGACTCATTGTGCAATATTTGTCATCTTTCAGCGAAGAATAACAAAGCAGGGAAATA